GTTTTATTTTTCACTCACTAAACATAAAGCATTAGTCACAAGGACAGTGTTCATTTTGAGAAAGTTATTTATAACAATATACTAGTGATGGGGGTAAAAGAACTCCGAAGCATGGCAAGAGGATAAAGATATAATTCTTTATGATTAAAAACAAACCTTACAATCAATAAAAACTTACTCCTTGGGAGCCTAAAAATATTTTGATAGTTTAAACATTGGTATTTGTTATTGGCATGGTATTAGTTTATTACTGTAAAATAAACAGTGATGAGACAAGAAAAAATCCAATCTTCTGAATCAGATCAGTTGTGCTGAGCCTGGGGATGATGCAGTGATGAATTGTACAGAGATTCTCTCCCGCTGCAGGCAGTTTGTGTTTTCTTGACAGATATATGAACTATTTCCAAGTATCAAAATGCTTGTTACCAGAGAAACCTAATATTTTAGATTATGTCATAGTTATTCTTTCTCATCACTAACACAAATGTCTTAAATACCAGACATTTCAGTCTATAGTTGGCTGGCTCCAACTAGAAAGTAGGCACCCCTAGAGCGGCCACTGAGCCCATGGAAGTTGGGAGAGGGAGTTGCAGGGTCAGTGGAGGGAAACTGAAGCAAAGTTTGTATAAGGAGTGATGTCATATAACCTTATTGGGTATGGTAAAACAATCTGGGTACCTTGCCCTAAATTCAGAGTGTCAATCACTGCAAAACTCTATTCTGTATAAAACAGGGGTACCATTTATACTCTATTCCATATAAAGACTGCATTTGGAACACATTTTCATGTGCAGAAAGCTCAAAGACTGCCATGCACATGGTGCCTTTGCAGTTGAGTAATTTGGCCAGCTCTGGGCTAGGAATTATTTTTATATAACCTTTAATGACTCCATATGCTTTGCAAAGGTTTAAGACTGCAGCATCTCTCTTTTCTCTTCTCTCCTCCCCTTTTCCCTTTCTCTTCTCCTTCTCTGCCCCCTCCTTCCCTCCATCCCTCCATTCCTCCCTCTGTGTCTCTCTTTCAGTGCTGACAATCAAACCTAAGGCCTTACATACACTAGACAAGCACTCTACTGTTGAGCCGCATTCCCTAGTCCTCAGGTTTTGTTGTTAAATCTACCTCTCCCTTCATCTCTCATGATGTAATATTATGTACAACTTGTTCAATCCACTAAACATTTCAAAGATATCAGTGGTTTCTATTATCATTTCCAAATGACACAGTGCAAACAAGTCCCTCCCTGCTGAAACTGTATGAAACATTCCTAGAATGGGGACTCTGATTAGTCTTGATTGGCCTCTGTGCACCTAGCTAAACTGATCCACTTCTTTACATCTCATTGTGTTTGTAGTAAAATGAGGACCAATGTGTCAGATTCGGAGCTGTCCTAATAAAGGACTATAATAAGCAAAATTTGTCTCATTTTCTTAACATGCATAAGTACAGATGATTACTGTCTATGATGGATCATGTTTGATATTAGTACTCTTTTCCCAACATGTTACTGAGGATAAGCAGATTCACAGTGCGTGTGCTGGGTTTTTCAGATGAAATTCTCTACCTTGCAGGTATTTAGGTTATGCTTATGCATTCTGCTAACTGAGTGTTATATGTTTCCTAATCATTTAAGCAATTTCTCTTTCCTTCACCTTCCATATAGCTGCTCACATATGCAAGAAAAGAAGTTTGTGAGTGTATGATAAAAGCTTATTATCCTTTCTCTGCCCAACTTAAGTTCTAGGATCTATGTGTTAACCAGGACTATCTATGTGTCAACTATTGAATCATTTTCATAATCAACCAAATTAAAAGGGGGGTGAGTTTATTCTTAATCTTGTCCTGTCAAATACTTCTGTTTATTCATTGCTACTTATTAGATAACTTTTCTGGGAAGGCAGTGTCCTTAAAAATTATTAATGTAAAAATGCTAAGGTGATTGAATTATACATCTTATGTTTTTAGGAAATAGAGTATGTACTTATAACACACAATGTTTTAGGTTTTATTTTAAACCGAGTTCTTCAGCAATGGACTGACAGAGTTTCTGCATCTCACAAGAAAAAGCATAAGCACATTATACAACTGTACTAAATTAAGTAAAACTAAATGAACATTTTTACATATCAGAAGTGGTAAAACCAAACAATATAGTATACACAAAGACTGAAAGAATTCAACACAGAATTAAAGCCTTTTCAATATAATGATGTAAATATACTTTACTTTTGCATGGTTTATTTGCATATTTATTCTACCTATTACTGAAGACCTAAGAAGTTCAAGACTATATAGTCTGGCCTCCTACATGCACATATGAAAGATAACCACCTAGAAATTATGCAACAGTTTGTACAGTGACTTAGAATGCCAGAATGAAACTGTCCTATTTAATCCCACATGCATACTAGGTTGCCAACCTATTCCTTGCTCTAGATGACACAGTGATACCAGTTCCTGTAATTTTTTTTCCAACAGTAGTCTCCATAGATTCTGAGACAGCTTCATGTCCATCAATGGTACAGATAATCCAGCAGACAGACCAACTGAGTCTCCTTCTAATCTGTGTCCAGTCACTGAGTTCATGAAGACAGATTCTCTGAATCGAGATGCTCACATCTGGCTGTGTTTGTGTCAAGTATCTACTTCAGTCTTTGTCTTTCACTTTGGATAAATTAAAAGTTACTTTTAAGCTCAAAGCTTTAATTTTGAAAACTTACAGAGGATTCATAAACAAATTTTGTGAGTTTTAAGGAAAATTTGAAGGCTATTTCCTAGAAATTTGAGAGATATTGACAGGTATTCCAAGAGACCTCTGAAGACCGCAAGCAGAGACCTGTTCAAATGGCATAATGTCATCACTTAAAAGCATTAGAGGGCTACCCAGTTGGGACCCCTTCTGCCCCTCAGGAGTTTTCCTATCAATAAATATCTTCTGGGCTGGGAATTTAGCTCAGTGGTTCCGGCACCTGCCTCGCAAGCGCAAGGTCCCAAGTTCGATCCCCAGTACCAAAAATAAAAAAATCAATAAAACTTTAAAAATAAATAAATAAATATCTTCCTACTTAAAAAAATAAATAAATAAAATAAAAGCATTAGAGACGAAAAACTTTGTTTCAAACATTTTACTACCATTTACACCACGGCAGAAAGTTCCTAAATTAATATTTTCTAAACCAATAGCTATAAATAATCTCAATGATCCTAATGACTTAGAGAGCTAAGAACCAGTTCTCATTCACCAAACTCAGAGGAAAGGCTTATATTCCCCACACTAAGGGAGAGTATTTCTCCTCCACATGTTTTTAAAGGTATTTTGAAACTAAATAATTGAAAACTTGATTTAAAATGACAAACTAGGTAAACAAAACTTTTCTTTCTTACACATAACAAATTGAATCCTACCATAGGAAACAAACATTTTTATAAATGTTCATTCCTTTTTAGAATTCATATTGAAGAACAATACCTTTTGAAGCACTGAAACCAATGATCAGAGCGTAGTTAATTCTGGCCTGATGTCTGAGGTTTAAATCACAAATGACCAGAGAAATCCAATTGTCAATCCTTTCTTAATTCAATTTTGTCTCTCATAAGTAAAAATAAAGTAAAAATAGATACTGGCTGGTCTCCCTGGTGAGTTCAGAACCAGATATTTACCAGATTGCACGGACTACTGCCACGTTCCGTCCTGGGGCCTAAGGAATAAAAGTAGAAAGGTATCAGCCAAGGAAAACTGAGGTTCTCGATCATTTCAGCTTCCTGCCTCTCCCTAAGGCAGTGTCTGAGAAGTATAGGAAGCGAGGAAAACAAAGACGAGAGTAGATCGCATTTCTTCTTTCCATCTTCAAAAAAAAATTGTGAGATGAGGACACAAGTAGTACTTATGCAGTTTCAAGCCCTGAAAATCAGTACTCACACAGTTACTACAAAGCACTGCTCACGTCGTCTGTCTGTGAGTGAGCCAACCGGGGCCGCCGCGGGGAACGTGGGACCTGGCGTGCTCTGCCTAAGCAGCCGTGACCAGGGAGGGTTCGTGAGCTCCCCGGCAAAAGCCCAGCGCCAGGCCTTAGCTGAGCACCCGGCTCCTGAAGGGGGCGCCGGAACCTCGCTCCAAGCCAAGAACTCCCGGCCCCGGGCTCTTCCTGAGTTTGGGCAGCAAGGTTGCAGAAGAGGGGCAGTCGCGAAGCAGGCTCGCAGGTAGGATCAAGAATCGGAATCGAAAAGGCAAAAGGCAAAGATGAAGACCTTGGGACGGGGAGCGGCCACCGCCGGGCTGCAGCTTCCTTCACCCCACTCCCGGCCTCTGCTAGGCCCGCAGAACGCGCCCCGCACAACCGCGCCGCGCGCCTCGAGTTGCTGCGTTTGCCCCAGGAGCAGAGCCCTGACTGCCCCCGAACTGCTCCTGTCGCTTTCCGACCTGGGCAGGCAGGTTCCCTCAAAATGACAGTCACGGAGCACTTCCGGGTGGGGCCTGGGGGTGAGAGGGAACCTCGGAGAGGCGAGCACGACTTGGGTGGGCTTCGACCCTCTTCCCCAGTCGCCGGGATCCACCGCCAAAAGCAAAGGAGCGAAGCGCCGAAGCGAGCGCAGAGCCAGCGCCTGGGGGCGCCTGCGACCTCTCTCCTTGGTGCCTCGAGGCCGCGGTGGGCTCCGCCTAAACCCGGGGTCGCCCACTGCCCGGCCTGCAGGGTCTCAGGGCAGGCAGCCGGGGACACTGCCCTCTTCTACTTCACTCGTCCCTCGGCCAAGCCGAGGGCTCATCCCTTACCCTTCTCCTTTAGGGAGCAGGCAGCATGGCCTTTTCAGCCTCAGTTGTGCCCACACAAGGGCGCACGCCCAGGGCTGGACAGGAAAACAGCAGGCACAGGCACAGCGCAGCCTAGCCGGGAGGTCTGGACTGGGGCCGGAGAACGTGCGTCCCTAGCAAGTTTCCGCCGGACGCCGAGGCTGCCTGTCGCGGGCGGAGGAGCTCTCAGGCGCCCCTGAACTAGCGGTGGAGGGCAGGGCTGGTGGAGAAGCTGGGCACGGGGGAGTCAGGCGTCCGCGCGGCAGCTCATCAGCTGGCGGAGGCTCCTGCGGAAGCTGTCGTCCAAGAAGGCGTAGAGAAAGGGGTTGAGGCAGCTGTTGGCGTAGCTCAGGCTGGTGATGAGGTAGGAGATGGCAATGACCAGAGGCGTCTGCGGAAGGTCGGTGGTGAGCGCCACCACGGTGCTCAGGTGGTAGGGCGTCCAGCAGAGGAGGCACACGGCCAGGATGGCCACCACCAGGAAGGTCACCCGCTTTTTGGCGCGGTCCAGCACCTTGGCGTGGCTGTCCAGCCGGATGGCCCGCAGACGGCACAGCAGGGTGGTGTACAGGACGCAGATGGTGGACACCGGGATGGCGAAGCCCAGCACGAGGGTGTAGAGGCGGCTGGCCCGCCACCAGAAGGCCTCGGGCTGCGGGAAGACCAGCACGCACTGGCGCCGGCCGTGCTCGTCGTCGAGCCTGGCGAAGACCGCGAAGGGCAGCACCACGAGCGTGACGAGCCCCCACACGGCCAGGCTCACGGCGCGCGCGGCGCTGTAGGTGCGGCCGGCCACGCGGCGCGACTCCGCCGTGGCGAGCACCACCAGGTAGCGGTCGGCGCTCATGACGGTGAGGAAGTAGAGGCTGGAGAAGGTGTTGTACTGGTCGATGGCCACGATGAGCTTGCACATGAGCTCCCCGAAGGGCCACCGCCTCAGCAGGAAGTCGGCGATGTTGATGGGCAGCACGAGCGTGAAGAGCTCGTCGGCTATGGCCAGGTTGAGAATGAACAGGTTGGTGACGGACTTCATGCGCGGCGCCCGCAGCAGCACGTACAGCACGGCCGAATTGCCCGCCAGTCCCACCGCGCAGATCACCGCGTAGACGACCGGCACGGCCACGGCCAGAGCCTGCGGCAGCGGCAGCGGCTCCGGGCTCGACACGTTGGAGCAGCCCAGCGCCAGAGCGCGGCAGGACTCATTGGCCTGGCCGGGCTCCTCAAAAGAGGCGTTGCGCATCTTGGCCAGGGCAAGGGTCTGGGGACCCGAGTGCGAGTCCCGCGTGCGCGCGGGCTCAGGCTGCTGCGCGGAGCCCCTTTCTGGCTTTCCGCGGGGAGGGGCGTTCCTGCCACCCTCGGCCCACTGTAGCCGCGGACTCCTGAGGCTGGAAAGCAGAGTGGAAAAGACAAGTTAGGCTCCTCCTCGAAGAACAGCTTTAGAGAGAAGCCAGGTACCCAGGCGGGGGCGGCGCAGCGCCACAACCCTGCCCCACGCGAGTGCTCTGTGCTACCTGTTGAGATCTCTCTCCAACCAGTTCAATGCATCACCGTGCTGGACAGAACCGTCCTCACTCCTGACCGGAAACGTACAAGCCCATCTCCCCTGCTCAGAACGCTCTTGGCACGCTGGGGTCCCCCCGCCGAATTCAACAGAGAGAAACTCAGCCCCCTGGGTTCCTGCGCCCTCAGTGAGACCAAGCTCAAGAGCGATCTTTGGCTTACCTGACTGGCTTCTGGAAAGGGTCTGCTTTCCCGGAGAGGTGAGGACAGGAGCAGGCCAGCTTTGGGATGGGATGCAGCGCCCGCGGGCTGGGTGCCCTCCTCCCAGTTTCCTCCCTGCGGCGGCAGCCAGCTCCTCCGCGTGTCCCTCCAGCCCGCCCGAAAGTGCTGGGACCGCGCAGCCGCGATGCTCTCCGCTGACCCCACTGGCCCCCGCTCCTAGTAAAACAGCCTTGGATAACAGAAAGCAGCATCCATCAAAATATAAGGGGTTCTTTTCTTCCTTGCAGTAGTCAACGTCATTCCATCTGAAATAATAAAAAGCTTCCCTGCTAGGAGTTAAATTTAAGAAAAACAAGGTTAAGGTGTTGGTGCTCTGTTTTTAAAGGAGAATGATGCAGCTGAGACTTCCTTGCCCTGTCTCAAACGCCGTGCCCCACATGGACAAATGTAATTTGGAATTTGAAATTACATGCATACCATATTGCTACACAGAAGGGGAAAGTGATTACAATTTTTTTAATGCAAATAACTGGTTTTCTAATACTCCAGTCTTTAAAGGTCAGAAGATCCTTGGTGTCAAATAATGGCTGACAATTCTGGATACTTTCCTGTTTCCAAAAATAGGTGTAGACTTGACTAATGTGGACAAACGGCTTCTGAAGGCTGTTCAGGGCACTGTCATGAATGTCACAAAAATGTCGTGTATTGTTCCACACGTTCTCCTGCTTTTCAAACACACATTCCTGCTTCTGCCACTAATGAGAACTTCCTGTACTCAAGGCCTGGGGTTGCTAAGGGAAGCAAGCGGAGGCTGGGACTCCATTATCACTGTCCCCCTGAACCTCAGTTGCTTTCTCCAGAAAGGGGGAATCATCGAAAACACCGCGCAGATACTCTGAGGATTGAATGAAATAAACTAAATATCGGTTCTCTCTAATTCATATTTCCCCCCAACTTCCCTTTGGGAGAGCCAGTAAAATAAAACTCTGGATCCTACCCTCTAATAAACTTCCTGCCCCAAAAGCAGGCAAAGCTCAAATACAGTGTTCATCTGTTCCTTTATGATGCATTTGAGAAGGGAGGGTCTGAGATACTGAGAAAAACATCACAAGTAGCCAGGGGAAGAGGTCTAGAGGAACAGAAATACAAATGCTTTCCTTAACTCTTTAAAAACAAAAACAAAAAATACAGGATCTACGTAAGTTTACTTCCTCTGCAGTTTCATGCTTTGAGTGAAGAAAATGACAGGAAATTCACAGACCATGTCCCTGGGAACATGATGTAAGGAAACACCATGCAGTGTTAAGAAAAATGAGAAAGGATTATATTAAGCACCCGTATATACGTTCACATAGACCTGTGTGTATGTATGTATTGAATGTGTCGAATATAGGTGCATGTAGTTGATAACTTCAAACATTTGGAGATTTTCTATTTTTGGTTACTCATTTTCAGCTTAGTCACAGAGAACACAGCTTAGTGGACAGAGAACACACAGAATATAATTTTGATTCACAAGAATTTGTTGAAACTTACTTCCCAGTAGAAATTTTTCTATTTCAAATATACTGGAAAATAATGTAGGCTCTGCATTTTGTTATGTGCAAAACACTACATATGTCAACTAGCCAGATTTATTACTTATGTTGTTCAAATCTTCTCACTAATGACATTTTTTCCTGTTTTATTATTTGCTGAAAGAGCTGTGCTAATCTCAATCAATAATTGTGGATTTATCTATTTATACTTTCAGTTCTTTCAATTTTGACTACCTAATTTCATCCTATTTTATCAGGTGCCCACAGTTTCAGATTGTTAGATTTTCCAGTAGATTCTTTCATCAATATAAGCTCCTTAATTCAGTTACTGCTTGTTGCTGGTATCATCATAGCTACACTCTTTCCTTAGTATTACCAGAGTATATCATTTTTACTTTTTTAACTTTAAATCTTCCTGTGTTCTTATTTTTATAGTATGTCCTATGTAGGCACTATAAAGCTTTATTAATCCAGTCTAATGCTATTTGTCTCTGAATTGGAGAATTTAATTCATTGTGTATTTAATGAAGTTACAGATATTAGGGTTATTATGGTCTAAATGCTTGTATCCTCCATAAATTCATGCACAATCCCTGGTTTGCAATGTTTGACTAGAGATTTTTAATCTTTATGATACATATTCAACAGAACCTGTACACCACTGTTCTATATTGAACAGCTAACCTATGATGCTCAGTAAGTTAAGACGTATTACATAAATTTTGGACTTACAATAGTTTCTGTTTATAATAAGTTTATAAGAACATGATCCCATTATAAATTATTAAGACTTCAAATGGAAAGGGGAACAAGGGAGGAGGGCTGGAGAAAGGAAGGAAGGGACAAGAAAAAAAGTGAAAATAGAAGGAAAAAATGGAAACAAAGCTTCTGTACATAGGGAGGGGAGGGGGCTTGAGGGGGGAATGGGATTAAATAGAATTTATTTCTTAAAAAGTGAAAATAGAAGAAAAAAAACCTTAATTTGCAGTGGGATGACATTTAGTGATGGGAACTTTGGGATGTGACTAGACCATGAGAGTGGCCCCTTTCACTGGTATTTGTGCCTTTACAAAAGAGGCTCTAGAAAATACCCTTACCTCTCCCATCTTGTGAGGTTATAGTGGTGATTGTCTAGAAAGCAGGACTTTAATAGGCTCCAAATTTTTGTCACCTTTTTTTTGACTTCTCAGCCTCTAGAACTGTGAGAAAGCAACTTCTGTTGCTCATAAGCCACTTAGTTGGTGCTATCTTACAGCAGCCTGCACCACTTAAAAGAGAACATTAGGACCAAGATGTGTGGTACTGCTGTAACAAATACCTAAAAATGAGAAAGTGGCTTTGTAATGGGGTAATGGGAAGAGGCCTGAAGAATTTTTAAGTGTGTTCTAGAAGAAGCCTACAGTGTTATGAATGGACCTTTAAAGATGATGGTGGTGACAGCTCAGAAAGGAAAGAGCAGAACTGGGGAGAAGACCCCAGTCTTCTTAGGAAAGGCCATTCTACTGAGGTCTCTTGTTACTGGAGCATGTTATTAGAAACTGAATGAAAGACATTCTTTGTTATAAAATCCCAAAGAACTTGTCTGAATCACGATTTGAGACAGTAGAACTTACAAACCATGAAATTGGATATTCAGCTGGGGAAATGTCTAAACAAAATGCCAAAGGAGAGGCCAAATTCCTCTTGACTGTAAATGTAAGAATGGAGAGAAAACTCAAAGATGGAAAGAACTTAAAGATCTGGGAAACTCCCGGCATATCCACATTGAAAGGAATAAGAAGGCCTATTCAGGAGAGAACACCAAGGTTGTGGCCAAACTACGTTCTCTGATAATAAAATTAAAGAGAAGTCGGGGCCCAGTGTTCAAGAACATGAATAAGGTAATTCAGAAATCATCAGGGCTGCCCCACATCACAGGTCCAGAGGGCAGAAGCCCAATTGAGCATAGCGCCACCAGAGAGAGACTCTGTTGGGACAATGCCCAGCAGAGCTGTAGGCGTGGGACCACTCCCTTGGCCCCAGACCAGTAGCAGCTCCAATGAGAGGTTTCAGCAATGGGGACCAGGTCACAGCTGAGGCACAGAGATGCCACGGAAGTAGTGCCTCCCAAAGTCACGGCAACAGGTCTCTTGCACTCCTGCGTCCGGAGGGCTGGATCTTCCCTCAGTCATAGTGAACAACAGAGCGTCAAATCAAAAAGGGTTACTTATTCTCAAGGGTTAAAATTTAACCTTATTTGTCCTGTTGGATTTTAGAGATGCTTGGGACCTATCTCTCTTTACTTCTTTCCTATTTCTCTCTTTTGAAATAGAAACGTCTATCCTATGCTTGACCCATCCTTGTATTTTGGTAGCACGTGTTTGATTTCACAGCTTGAGTGCGGTTTGCCTCAACGTGAATGGTACCTTTAGTCTCACTCATATCTAATTTAGATGATACTTGGAGGAGACTTTGGACTGTAGATTTTTGAGTTGGTGCTGGGATGACTTCAGATTTGGAGGGATACAGAAATGGAATGAATGCAGTTTGCAGGTGAGAATGATATGAACTTGGAGAGGCCGGAGGTGGAACTCTGTGATCTGAATGTGTCCCTTCAAAATCCATACGTTAAGGTAGTGATGGTATGTGATGGAGCCTTTGGGAGATAATTAAATCGTGACGGTGGAGCCCCACCCGGGAGACGGATGCCCCTATGAAAGCGGCCCCAGAGAGCTTCCTTGTGAGGTTACAGCATTAATGTGGTCACCTAGAAAGTGAGCCCTCTCCAGACTCCTAATTTTCTGGCACGATGGTCTTGGACTTTTCAGCCTCCTGAACTAGGAGAAAGAAATTTCTTTTGTTTATAGGATACGTGCATTATAGTACTGCATTAGAGCAGCTTGAAAGGACTAAGACAAGGGCATCCACCTACAGTGTTACTGTTTAATCTCTATTTCCCTACTCTTCTATCTTCTTTTTTATTATTATTCTTAAGTTCTTTTATTGGCACATTTTAGGTCTACAATATGCTTACATTTATCATTGGGTGCTTGTACCTGTACATGATGGATCTTGGTTCTTATTTTTTCCCCATTACCTGTGTGCCCTTCACCCCCTCCACCTTTCCCTATTTACACAGACTTCATTTCCACTTTTTTTCTTTTCTCATAATTTTTCCTTTCCCTTCTTTCCTTTCCCCTTCTCCTCCCACCACTATTCCCCTTTGGACCTTTCTTCTTATTTCAAATGATCAATTATTCATTTCAATCATTTTAACCCTTGTTTACACTTTCAGTTTCTCACACTAGAGAAACTATTCGGTATTTACACACGTGTGTCCTATTTATTTCACTTAAGAGTATGGCCTCAATATGCATCCATTTAGCCATAAATG